AAATCTCAACATTTACATGAAAGAATTAATTTTCTATTTTTAATAAGAATTCTAAATTAAATCTCAATATTTACACAAAACAATTAATTTTCTATTTTCATTAGAATTCTAAATTAAATCTCCATATTGACATGAAAGAATTAAATTTTCTATTTTTAATTAGAATTCTAATTAACCGACGGGTTGGGGGTTCGAGCCTCCACAACATCCTTATTTTTCTTTTTTTTTACCTTCCATCTTGGCAGCTGCTGAGGGGCGTGGCATCGATTCCCCACGACCCCATTCTTTTCCCTTAATTAATTTCCCCTTCCTTGGCTTCTCATTTTTTGCTGCTGGTTGATTGAGGGGTTGTGGGATCGATTCCCCACAGCCCCTCCTCTTTTTTTCCTTCTTCTTCCCTTTTCGCGTGTATCGGGAGGTCGTGGGTTCAAATCCCACGCCTCCCATTTCCTTTTTCCTTCTTCTCTTTCCCCCCAGGTCGCGTGTTCGATCCCCCCCAACCCCTTTTTTTTGTGAGCTACTGCTTTCTGACAGGTGAGGTCCCAGGTTCGAATCCTGGTGGCCTCATTCCTTTAAAATTTAATAAATTTCCAGATTTCCTTCATTAAACTTTAGTGTAAATTAACGTTGCATTGTTGCTGGAAATTTTTGTCATTTTTCAATTCATTTTTATCATCATTTTCACTTGAATTTCTAAGAAAATTCGTAGACCATTTTAACACATTTTTAGGTGCATCTTTCATAGGTTTGTTTGGCTAAAAGATTGTTATTCAATCAGCCACAATTCATTATGATGAATATCACATTGTGTACAACTTTTGCACTTAAATTACGAGAATTAAACATGCCATTTCACACCTCTAACAATGACTAAGTTCACTACCACACATTGCACACACACATCACTTTTTCACATGATTTCGGACAACATATTCAATAATCACATAATTCCGAACATGCATACTTAAACATAAACATCACGAAAACGCATTCCATCCTTACTTTATACCAGCAAACATATCCAACCTATAATTCAATGGGAGCTAGTGACAGGGACATACAACGGGGAAACAACCCTAGTTTTCGGAATGAATATCTTGAACCTTAAGGGGTCTCTTGGGAAAGGGACCAAGAGATAAGAAACTCATACCTTAATCGATGTTGAAACGCTTATGTTGCTTCCTGGAAACTCCTCCAACCCACGCCCACTTTACTTCAACGCGCACCTCACTCGACGAACCTCTCTTAGCCTTGATGTTTTCATTACTTTTTCTTTTACTTAAAAATTCTTGTGAGTTCTTCAAGTGTGATTAACTCTTGATGTATTTTCAGTTCTTGAAATTATTTTTGGCAGAAACCAACGTGAGAGATATATATGGAGAATGAGAGAGAGAGAGAGGTAGAGTGTTATTATGATTAGGAGACTAAATTCAAGACTTAGTCGAATAGGATTTAAATTAGGTTAATACAAATCTGATTTATTTTAATTAATACGTGAAAGGACTATTATTCCCTTAAATTTTTAGATTTTTAATTAATAATTAAATCACCTTAAGTACCTATTATTTAATTTTTGTTGGATCTTTGCATTATTCCCCCCTTAGGAACATTCGTCCCCGAATGAAACGACCATTACACATCATAATGCCGATCCGTTCATAACTTAATCGCTATGCACATTTAGCCAATAGCAACAAAATACGAAAAGATAAGGAACAATAGCCTTAAGAGTAGGAATCCTAACCTCATACTAGGGTATACACACCACACACAGTCAAATACATGAAGGACTAATTAAGGCTACTCACTCGAGACTTCACAAGAAGTGCCTTTCTCTACACCCCTAGACTTGAGTGCGAAGAATCGTAGCCTCCTTGAAGCCTCTTCACTTGGACCATTAGACTGAACTCTCTCCTTCCCTTGTTTTGACTTCTCCTATCGGACAATCCTTTACCATGTGATCTGATTTGCCACAACTATAACAAGCATTAGTGCTACTCTAATTCCCTCCTTTTCAATTGTGAATTTAAATAGAACGAGTTTTAGTCTTAATCAATTAGAATTTCTCAAAATACAATGTATAAAGATAAATTAAATTTCATTCCCTTGAAAAAGATATTCATTTTCACGACCAAGGCTAGACTTAATTTTGAGTGTGAATTAATCGAGGTTCTCACAAGTTTCATATATACAAAAATGGCATGTCTTACTTTGTTACCCTGTAAAGATTTGAATCTTTGACCCTTCATTGGTAGAGGAAAGATAATGAGGCGAAAAATGTGCAAGATCTATACCTCATTCGTTCTATAAATGTGGGACAATTTAAAAAAAGGTCGAATAAAAATATTGTGTCCATTGCCAAGTGCCTTGTAGTCGCTCCTCCGTCTTCATTCCTTTATTGTCAAAGGCGCCTTTAAGACATGAAAGAAACACTACTCATATATGGAGGAAAAGCATATGATGATATCCAACTTGGCTTCCAACCTTGTGTAATTGAGTTAGAATAGTAAAACATCTTATCTGATTTATTAGCTATGCACATAATGAAGTCTGTCATCTCGTTTCGTTACAATTTATAGTAATAACTCACTTCTTGTAATTCATTTGATAAAATTTGACTCACCTAATGATTAGAAATATAAAAGATCATTCTTGAAATAAGTGATTATAAACATGAATTTCATAATATTTATATTGATTAATTGAACACAAAGGTTGTATCTATTCAGAAAATGAGATTAAATGATACTTTTATCGAAAAGGTTTCCTTGACTGCTTCTATAACTACGTGAACTTCCGAATGTGGTGTATGTAAGAAATATGACACTACTTGAGTCTAACTAAACCACAAAAGCTAGTTCATTTGGGGAGGATTTCTAAACTGACACGCGAACCAGGATGTCTAATGATGATGGACCTAACTTTGATACAATATTTAGACCTAACTCAATACCAAAACCTAGCTCATGAAGGAAGGATTTCATAGTCCATATGAGGATACCACCACCGGTCCACTACCCAATCAATGTGGGGCTTTTACCCACTCTATCAACTTATTCAATTGCACATAGGTTTCAGACTTTGTTCTATTCTGATAAAAAAAATTGCTTGTAATCCCTATGACTCTTGAAAGAATGTGATTCTACATGCCCCAAATCCAAAATTTATCTATTATTTTTTTCTAAGTCACATTATCACGTGATCAATCTTTAGTTCTGCATTATAATGCATCATTCAAATTACCAGACCATAACGCCGTCAGTAGCTAGGAGTTCTTTTCCAATATACATAGTAACTTGATACTTCAACTAAACGAGTTTGTGTTTAAATAGAGCCAAGCTTCTGTTCAATGTCATCATGTGTCTTTCTGCTGAATGAATATAATATTATTTCACTTGTTAAGTACTCTAAATTCAAGCGTATATTTTGTTCAGATACTTTGTGTTAGTTCCTTCCTTTGTTAAATGGAAGGAAACAATGTATCTATGGATCTTTATTTTAGAAAGAGTGAGCATGTTCTATTGTAGTAAATAAAAATAAAAGATATATGTCAAAGAATGTTCTTGATTGATATAAGAATCTTCAAAATTCAATCAAAACATCACTAGGTGGATAAATATAGAATTTTTGTCTAAGTCAGGTGGACCACAAATGAATCTATAATTTCAAGTCCACTAGCTGATTTTGAAAAACCAAATCAATTGGATATAACAGCATAGTGACTTACTTAATTAAAACCCCAAAATCAATTGTCATCAAATTTAATTTACGAAAGAATATGTTGTAGTTTCTCAAATGTCTCCCTATCTTGTTTTAGCTGATGAAAGGTCTGATAAGTTGCGCAACACTAATGGCACAGTCAGCTCATATTACTGTTCAATCTAATTTAATAAGAAGATGTAGTGTTGTACAACTGTATTGATAATTCCATATTTCTTTCAGTAAGTGCTTTAATTTGATCTTTTACACCTTATGTCACTAATATTGTGAATGAACTTAATATGGTAATTGCATTAGTTGGAACACTTATCATGGGATCAGACATTATTAATGAAATGGGAAAAATATCTCGTCCTTAAGACATGAGAGTTAAAGGTATGTCCATTACGTACTTTTTCTTTGTTCCTCTTTGGTTTGGGACAAAACTAGGCAAACGAGAAACCTATTAACAAAGGTCTAGGGGAGTGTAGACAAGAGTAAGAGAGAACCAAGCCAGCTAGGGCCTTACATCATAAATTTCCTTCTTTCTTATTGGTTTGGTAGTGCTTTCCTTTCTCTGTGGCGAGAAGATAGAAAAGGACTCACACCATTGCGACAGTTGGGGACTTGCCCTATTTTAGTATTTCAAAAAACATTTGTTTTTTTCTTCGGATTAGTTTTTAAGAATTTAAGTTTTGCAGACTATCTTTGGATTGGAGTAGCAAACTTGCATTATTATATGTTTTGATATAAATAATGCTCATACACTGCATATACCTTTTAAATGATTCACATTTATGAATTAACTCAAAAATATATATTGTTTAAAAATTATTTCAATATCCTAAGAAAGATGATATGATAAATTTAAATATATTTCTACAATCGCCGCAAATTTCACTAGTTAGTATAAATAAAACGTAGAATAATAGTGCTAGTGTCAATAAGTAGTAATAGGGTCAGGTGAATGAGTCTATAAAAGAAGTCAAAAAGAATGAAAAGAAAAAGGAAAAAACTATCTTTGTGCATTCCAATACAAAGAAATAGTAGTCACATTCACGTGAGTGTAAATAAGTGGTAATTTATAGGGTTAGGTGAATGAATCTTAAAAAGAAGTCAAAAAAAAAACAATCTGGTTATTATTCCAAGACAAAGCAATACAGTAGTCATCACAAGAATCATGTGATAACAGAAATACAATGGAATTCTCGTGAGCGGGTTGTGCATGGTTTTCGTGAATCAAACTCCTATATATATATATTAAACAAGTTCTTCAACAATTTCCCATCCTACCATCTATCATGGCAAACGAGTTTCGTGGATCTTCCTTAAGGAGCTCTTCTCCCAACAACCCTAAGTTCATCCAAATCATTACTTCATTAGATGAATTAAGCCGTCTGGTAAGTAATTAATTGTAATTTTAGTCCTTGTAAATTGTTGATTTAGTCCAAGATATAAGTTAAACTAATTATATTTGTATGAAATTAAATTTGCCATTTCTTTTGCACGCAGAGGATTCCAGTAGAATTTGCCAAAAGACACTGCGAGAAGATGTTAAACCCCGTGTTTCTTGAGGCTCCCCATGGAAAAGCTTGGGAGGTTGAAGTGGAAAATTCTCAAGGCCAAATTTGGCTAGTCAAGGGATGGAGTGATTTTTGTGACTATTACTCAATAATAGTCAAGAGCATATTAATATTCACATACAACCCGCGTTGTCACTTTGCTGTCGCTATATATGATCAGAGTAAAACAGAAATTGAATATCCAATAGATCAAGATATTGAATCAGATGAACAAGAGGAAGATATTCTAGTTGCCCAAGCTAATGCTAATGTAATTCAGAAGCGTAAGTAAACATCTTAAGTGCTTTATTAGCTATTAATTAAGTGAATTCATTAGTAGAATATTGTACTAGTTGTTATACTTATGTCAAGGTGTTGCAGATAAGGAGGTTGGAGAAGCTCATAGTATAAGTGAAAAAGTTGGTCCAAATAATTATAGCAGTCGATACAGTTTGGTGGACTTAACTGGTGACAATCCGTTTTTTGAAATGGTTATAAAAAAGTCACATGCTACTTGTATGGTAAGGTTTAATAGTTTTACATTGTGTTTTTAATTCGCTAGATTTGCACATTCTAGTTATTTTCCAGAAAATCTAATGATCCTGTTTGTTTGATGAATATGTTTTTTAGGCTATCCCGTTGAGATTCGCCCAACAAACAGACATATTAAACATGAAGAATATGAGGTTGGTTAATGAAGAAGGAGTAGAATGGAAAGTGGAAATAGAGTATACTAGGAGTATGGTTATCATAAAAGAAGGATGGTCTGCCTTTCGAAAAGATAACAAAATAGCTTATGGTGAAACTTGTCGCTTCAAGTTGATTCGGGGCCCCATTGCAAATGTTTTGCAGGTTCAGAAGATCCCAACACCCCTTTGCTTGCAATAAATTAGATACAATTTTTTTATTGCATTTTAGCTATTTTAGTTTGCCTTATTAAGATGCTACTTGTACTTAATTTTCTAGGGTATCAAATTTCAGATAACTTTTTTGCATAAATTATCTTCTTATAATTGCAAGTATATGTATTCAACAAGTGCTCAAGTAAACATTTTATTTTGTAAACGTTATGGAATGTAACTATTGGATCGTTTGGCATATATATTTTTAAATCTTTTTTTTCTAATCGCCACTTACTTATAGCAAATTAATTACTATTTTGTAGCTTTGTGGACCGTTATAAGTCACGATGGAAGAAAAGAGAGAGAAAATCTACCTTATCACTTACTTTAATATTGCCTTCGTCTTAAAATAGTTGTCGCATTCTGTTTCTCGATACCTAAACCCACTAGCCCCGCCTAATAAAGGAGGATTAGAATTAAGCCAGGATTGAGGGACCAGAAGAGAGGAAGAAGTCTTTCAGAACATACTAATTCCTCCCTATCTCCTTCAAGATGGATGAGCAGCTAGCACTAATGCCTTAATAAGGATGAACAACAAAAAATATAAGAAACTATCAGAAGAGGATGAAGAAGGTGACCACATATTATTAATTATTATCCAATCAAGAAAAAAGAAGAATCTATAAACTATGAACTAATTCCATTCAGTGGGAAATAAAGAATAACCTCAACTATCTAAAAGAGACATTGATTATGTTGTGGAGAGTGATTGAGAAAGACCGTCAAATCACGCACTTCTAGAAAACTAAAACTATTAACTACCCTGGTGAGTCTAATTCTGAGTTGGAGAAAGAAGCAAGGGATTGGGCGCATCTTCACTAATTTAGCTCACGACTATTATATAACAAGGTTTTATAAAGAGGAAAACTTGCTGCAAATTCTACAACAAGGACTTTGATTAATCACCATATACATTTTATATGTCAAAAAGTGAGATTCAAATTTTATTAGCTCCGAAGCCTGAGAAAATTTCAACTGTACCTGTTTCAACAATTTCACCTTTCTTCTAATTTAGAAAGGCTACTCTGCCCCTTAGAAATCAGTAGGTGTTTGCTTAATCTGTAGTCAAAGGAAGAAAATGTGTTCGCTTTTCATGTTCATTTCAAACTCAATACTCATCTAAGTTATGACCATATTTTCACGTCACTTTTTTTTATGTCCTTTCTATTAATTACTAAATACATTTGCGTTGAAAAAATAAAGGAAAAAAGATAATTATTAAAAACGAGAAAATGAAAATAAGTATCCAACAACTCCATACATAATTGATATTTATAGATTGATACAAGAATTAGATAGAAGGGAATTAAGATGGCATGTAGTTAATTAAGTGAGAATTCAAAGGTATATGGTTTTTTATATAACTCATGAGATTTATTTAGGTGTATTATTTTTTTATACTTATCAAACGAATTGATTAATAAAAATAATGAAGTAAAAATTTCAAAAAATGTAATATAAAATATAGTAGTAATTTTCTATACCAAGAGATGGGTCACATCATCTAGTCTATATCTAGCTTTATAATTATGTATGTAATTTAAAGTAATTTTTTCTCCTAATGAGAGTAAAGATGAAGATTAATTTCTTCTCCCATATATTCTATAAATGTGTTAGATTTATTTCTAATTAAATATTTCACTCATATTTTATATAGAAGAGCTTGTTAAATTCAAGAATATGTACTTCAATCAAGTGAAATATTCTTAAGGACATTTTCATCGACACACCTTAAACCGTAAGTATTTCCTTAAATGAGGTCATTTAAGATTGACTCACACTCGTAATTAATAGTAGACTTATTTGTAAATTCAAACCACCAAAATGTTAGAATCACGAGAACTATAAAGTGTCATGCATGATATTCATGTTAATTTGAGCATAAATTTTGAAGTTGAAATTTAAAAATTTGAATTTCTGAGTTGTCATATTTTGAAATTTGATTTTATGTTTGAACGTACATTTTACTTGAAATAAATTGAATTTTTGTGAGTGAAAGTGAAAATTCTCTCGAGAAGAACATAATTTTGGAACTTGGAAATTATCCAAGCATAGATTTTTAAAATTTAACCCAAAGTTTATGGTCAAATAGTTAATTTCATTTCTTCATTGAATTTATTAGGGAAAAATCTCAGGTCTACCTCTTTTGTATCGTGAATCATGAAAACGTTATTACTTTTTCCAAAAACTTTATTTTGTGCCTAAACATGGCGTAGTTGTATATTGGCTTCTCATAAATGCTTTAATCCCATCCTGTTTGTTTAATTTCTCTTTTTAATCTTGAATTCACTGACTAAATTCCAACTCAATGTTAGTGCTACTCTACTTCCCTCCTTTTCAATTGTGGATTTAAATAGAACGATTTTTAGCCTTAATCAATTAGAATTTCTCAAAATCCAATGTAACAAGAATACTTAAATTTCATTCCCTCGAAAAAGATATTCATTTTCATGACCAAGGGTAGACTTAATTTTGAGTGTGAATTAATCGAGATTCTCACAAGTTCCATATATACAAAAATGGCATGTCTTACTTTGTTAACCTGTAAAGATTTGAATCTTTGACCTCTCATTGATAGAGGCAAGATAATGAGGCGCAAAATGTGCAAGATCTATACCTCATTCGTTTTATAAATGTGGGACAATTTAAAAAAGGTCGAATAAAAATATCGTGTCCATTTCCAAGTGCCTTGTAGTCGCGCCTCCGTCCTCATTTCTTTATTGTCAAAGGCGCCTTTAAGACATAAAAGAAGCACTACTCATGTAAGGAGGACAAGCAGATGATGATATCCAACTTGGCTTCCAACCCTATGTAATTGAGTTAGATGAGTAAAACATCTTATCTGATTTATTAGCTATGAACATAATGAAGTCTGTCATCTCGTTTCGTTACAATTTATAGTAATAACTTACGTCTTTCAATTCATGTGATAAAATTTGACTCACTTAATGATTAGAAATATAAAAGATCATTCTTGAAACAAGTGATTATAAACATGAATGTCATAATATATAAATAGATTAATTGAACACAAAGGTTGTATCAATTCAGAAAATGAGATTAAATGAGATTTTTATCGGAAAGGTGTCCTTGACTGCTTCTATAATTACGTTAACTTACGGATGTGGTGTAAGTAATAAATATGACACTACTTGATTCTAACTCAACAATAAAAGCTAGTTCATTAGGGGAGGATTTCCAAACTGACACGCGAACTAGGAGCTCGAACAATGATGGATCTAAATTTTGTATTAGGTAAAGATATGACACCTAGCCATAACTCATTACAAAAACCTAGCTCATGAAGGAAGGATTTCATAGTCCATTGAGGACACCACCACCGGTCCACTGCCCAATCAATGTGTGACTTTTACCCTCTCTATCAGCATATTCAATTGCACATAGGTTTCAGGCTTTAATGTATTCTGATAAAAAATTGCTTGTAGTCCCTATGACTCTTGAAAGAAAGTGATTCTTCACGCCTCAAAGCAAAAAATTATCTATTATTTTTTTCTAACTCAAATTATCAAGTGATCAATCTTTAGTTCTATATTATAATGCATTCTTCAAATTACCTGATCATAACTCCTTCAGTAGCTAGGAGTTTTTTTCCAATAGACATAGTGAAATGGTACTTCAACTAAAGGAGTTTGTGTTTAAATTAACCCAAGCTTCTTTTTAATGTTATCATGTGTCCTTCTGCTGAATGAATATACTATTATTATACTAATTAAGTACTCTAAATTACGGCGTATTTTTTGTTCAGATACTTTGTGTTAGTTCCTTCCTTTTTTAAATGGAAGGAAACAATGTATCTACGGATGTTTATTTTAGAAAGAGTGAGCATGTTCTATTGTAGTAAATATATATATAATATATATTTCGAAGAGTGTTCTTAATTGATATCAGAATCTTCGAAATTCAACTAAAACATCACTAGGTGGATAAAATATAGAATTTTTGTTTAAGTCATGTGGATCACGAATGAATCTATAATTTCAAGTCCACTAGCTGATTTTGAGAAAACCAAATCAATTGGATATAACAGCATCGTGACTTACTTAATTAAAACCCCAAAATTTATTGTCATCAAAACTAATTTATGAAAGAAAATATTGTAGTTTCTCAAATTCCTTCCTTTCTTTTTTTAGCTGATGAAAAGCCTGATTAGCTGCGCAACACTAATGGCACAATCTACTCATATTACTGTTCAATCTAATTTAATAAGAAGATGTAGTGTTGTACAACTGTATTGATAATTCCATATTTTTTTAGTAAGTGTTTTAATTTGGTTTTTTACACCATATGTAACTAATATTGTGATTGAACTGAATATGGTAACTGCATTAGTTGGAACACTTATCATGGGATAAGACAATATTAATGAAAT